CCTCCCTTGTATCTGTTCATCAAGCTCTGCCAACATTTCCTCTGTACTCCTGTCTTCATCATCATCATCATCATCATCTAAGAGCTCATTCACATCGTCTTCATTCATATCTTCAAAACCATCACCTGGTAATCTCCTTGCCAGCTGAACAATTTCCTGAACCTGACTCTCAAGCAAGGGAAAATCAGTGAAAGAATTAGCCACAGAATGCCATAGCTAGCCACAGCCTGAAATTAATGTTGATTGAGGCACTTCATTCCATGCACTTCTAGCATAGCTGATAGCATCTGCAATGTTAAATTTATTCCAGCAGCTTGGTACTCCGAAGTTGGAGTCAAGAGTCCATTGATGCAACTAGTTTTTTCGTAACTTTTTTTGTGTAGTTACAATTGAATGACTTAATAACTCCCCGATCCAGTGGTTGTATTAAATATGTTGTATTTGGAGGTAAAAATACAACTTTTACATGTGGGGTCACATCTAGCAAAGCTTGTGGATGAGTATGGGAATTATCAAGAATAAAGAGAGCCTTGAATGCAAGGTTCTTGCTGTGCAGGTAAAACTTGATTTCAGGAATAAAGTGATGCTTAAACCAGTCAATAAATATTTCCTCTGTCATCCATGCTGACTGGTTTGACCTCCAAATTACTGGTAAGGTGTTTTTCTCTACACCTTTCAAAGCACGAGAATTCTTAGAGCGGTAAATAACCACGGGATTACACTTGAAATCACCTGCCGCATTACCACAAAGGAGCAAGTGATCCTTTGCTGTCTTGAAGCCAGGTGCACTTTTCTCTTGCTGATATAAGTTTGTGTTGGCATTTTTTTTCCAAAAACACTTGTCTCATCAGCATTAAACACCTGATGATGAGGGTGGTGTGGGTGGCTTAGGGAGGTGGGGGATGGCGATAGATCTCCATCCGTTGACACAGTAGTGTAACCTACTAATCCACAGACCATTCCGCCCAGCGGGCGAGCACGCGCTCAAAATTTTTTCCCCTCATGCAACCTTGTTAAACTAATTTTACGAAGTGTTAAGCAAAAATATGCCGCAATTCTTCACTCGTGCTACGACAAAAACATGCAAGACAAAACCGTGTTAAATGACGGTCTACTGTACTTCTTCAATTGCTTTTATAATGGTGCTATGTAGAAGAGGTTTATGACAGGGCCCTCACTCCCTCTCGTGTGTATTGTGTATGTTGTGTGGATGTGCGTGTGTTGTGTGGATGTGTGTGTGTATGTGGATGTGTGTGTGTTGTGTGTATGTGCATGTGTTGTGTGTGTGCATGTGTGTGTTGTGTGCATGTGTGTGTGTGCATGTGTGTGTGTGTGTGTGTGTATTCACCTAATTGTGGTTGCAGGGGTTGAGTCATAGCTCTTGGTCCTGCCCCTTCACTGGTCAGTGGTGTGTGTGTGTGTGTGTACTCACCTGTATGTACTCACCTATATGTGGTTGCAGGGGTCGAGTCATAGCTCCTAGCCCCGCCTCTTCACTGATAGCTACTAGGTCACTCTCCCTGAACCGTGAGCTTTATCATACCTCTGCTTAAAGCTATGTATGGATCCTGCCTCCACTACATCGCTTCCCAAACTATTCCACTTACTGACTACTCTGTGGCTGAAGAAATACTTCCTAACATCCCTGTGATTCATCTGTGTCTTCAACTTCCAACTGTGTCCCCTCGTTACTGTGTCCAATCTCTGGAACATCCTATCTTTGTCCACCTTGTCAATTCCTCTCAGTATTTTGTATGTCATTATTATGTCTCCCCTATCTCTCCTGTCCTCCAGTGTCATCAGGTTGATTTCCCTTAACCTCTCCTCGTAGGACATACCTCTTATCTCTGGGACTAGTCTTGTTACAAACCTTTGCACTATCTCTAGTTTCTTTACGTGCTTGGCTAGGTGTGGGTTCCAAACTGGTGCCGCATACTCCAATACGGGCTTAACGTACACGGTGTACAGGGTCCTGAACGATTCCTTATTAAGGTGTCGGAATGCTGTTCTGAGGTTTGCTAGGCGCCCATATGCTGCAGCCGTTATTTGGTTGATGTGCGCTTCAGGAGATGTGCCTGGTGTTATACTCACCCCAAGATCTTTTTCCTTGAGTGAGGTTTGTAGTCTCTGGCCCCCTAGACTGTACTCTGTCTGCGGTCTTCTTTGTCCTTCCCCAATCTTCATGACTTTGCACTTGGTGGGATTGAACTCCAGGAGCCAATTGCTGGACCAGGTCTGCAGCCTGTCCAGATCCCTTTGTAGTTCTGCCTGGTCTTCGATCGAGTGAATTCTTCTCATCAACTTCACGTCATCTGCAAACAGGGACACCTCAGAGTCTATTCCTTCCGTCATGTCGTTCACAAATACCAGAAACAGCACTGGTCCTAGGACTGACCCCTGTGGGACCCCACTGGTCACAGGTGCCCACTCTGACACCTCGCCACGTACCATGACTCGCTGCTGTCTTCCTGACAAGTATTCCCTGATCCATTGTAGTGCCTTCCCTGTTATCCCTGCTTGGTCCTCCAGTTTTTGTACTAATCTCTTGTGTGGAACTGTCAAATGCCTTCTTGTAGTCCAGGAACATGCAATCCGCCCACCCCTCTCTCTCTTGTCTTACTGCTGTCACCATGTCATAGAACTCCAGTAGGTTTGTGACACAGGATTTCCCGTCCCTGAAACCATGTTGGCTGCTGTTGATGAGATCATTCCTTTCTAGGTGTTCCACCACTCTTCTCCTGATAATCTTCATGATTTTGCATACTATACATGTCAGTGACACTGGTCTGTAGTTTAGTGCTTCATGTCTGTCTCCTTTTTTAAAGATGGGACTACATTTGCTGTCTTCCATGCCTCAGGCAATCTCCCTGTTTCGATAGATGTATTGAATATTGTTCTTAGGGGGTACACATAGCGCCTCTGCTCCCTCTCTCAGGACCCATGGGGAGATGTTATTTGGCCCCATTGTGTGTGTGTGTGTGTTTTGTGTGTTGTGTGTATGCATGTGTGTGTGTGTTTCTTTGTGCTCTGTGTATGCATTTGTGTGTGCGTTGTGTGTATACACATGTATGTGTTGTATGTGCTCGTGTTACATAAAGTATCTGACAATAGCCATGGCGTGAATGATGGTAAAGGCATTTTTTTTCTTTTTTGGGTCACACAACCCTGGCTAATTTCTGAGGCATTGAGGTGTTGCTGTTAGTTCTGGTGTTAATTTTGGCATTGTTCTTAGCTCTTGTGTTAATTCTGGTGGCGTTGTTGCGGCATTGTTAGTTCTGACGTTGTTGTTAGTTCTGATGTTGTTAGTTTTGATGTTGTTAGTTGTGACGTTGCTGCTAGTTCTGACATTGTTGTTAGTTCTGATGTTGCTATTAGCTCTGATGTTGCTGTTTTGACATTGTTGATATTTCTGACTTTGTTGTTAGTTCTGACGTTAGTTCTGATGTTGCTGTTCTGGCGTTAGTGCTGATGTTGTTAGTTCTGAAATTGTTGTTAGTTCTGATGTTGCTGTTCTGAGGTTGTTAGTTCTGGCATTGTTGTTAGTTCTGACATAGTTGTTAGTTCTGACATTGTTGTTAGTTCTGATGTTGTTGTTAGTTCTGACATTGTCTTAGTTGTGACATTGCTGCAAGTTCTGACATTGTCTTAGTTCTGACATTGTTGTTAGTTCTGACATTGCTGATAGTTCTGATGTTGCTGTTAGTTCTGACATTGCTGTTAGTTCTGACATTGTTGTTAGTTCTGACATTGCTGATAGTTTTGATGTTGCTGTTAGTTCTGATGTTGCTGTTAGTTCTGACGTTGTTGTTAGTTCTGACATTGTTGTTAGTTCTGACGTTGCTAGTGCTGGCGTTGTTGCTAGTTCTGACATTGCTGTTAGTTCTGACGTTGTTAGTTCTGACGATGTTAGTTCTGACGTTGTTAGTTCTGACGTTGTTGTTAGTGCTGATGTTGTTGTTAGTGCTGACATTGTTGTTAGTTCTGATGTTGTTGCTAGTGCTGACGTTGTTGCTAGTTCTGACGTTGTTGTTAGTTCTGACGTTGTTGTTAGTTCTGATGTTGCTAGTTCTGACGTTGTTGTTAGATTTGACGTTGTTGTTCTGACGTTGCTGTTAGTTCTGACGTTGCTGTTAGTTCTGACGTTATTGTTAGTTCTGATGTTGTTAGTTCTGACGTTGCTGTTAGTTCTGACGTTGCTGTTAGTTCTGACGTTGTTAGTTCTGACGTTGTCTGTTAGTTCTGACGTTGTTGTTAGTTCTGACGTTGTTGTTAGTTCTGACGTTGTTGTTAGTTCTGACGTTGCTGTTAGTTCTGACGTTGCTGTTAGTTCTGACGTTGCTGTTAGTTCTGACATTGCTGTTAGTTCTGACGTTGTTGTTAGTTCTGACGTTGTTGTTAGTTCTGACGTTGTTGTTAGTTCTGACGTTGTTAGTTCTGTCGTTGCTGTTAGTTCTGACGTTGCTGTTAGTTCTGACGTTGTTGTTAGTTCTGACGTTGTTAGTTCTGACGTTGTTGTTAGTTCTGACGTTGCTGTTAGTTCTGACGTTGTTGTTAGTTCTGACGTTGTTAGTTCTGACGTTGTTAGTTCTGACAGTTGTTAGTGCTGACATTGTTGTTAGTTCTGACGTTGCTAGTGCTGACGTTGTTGCTAGTTCTGACGTTGCTGTTTGTTCTGACGTTGTTAGTTCTGACGATGTTAGTTCTGACGTTGTTAGTTCTGACGTTGTTAGTTCTGACATTGTTGTTAGTGCTGACATTGTTGTTAGTTCTGACGTTGCTAGTGCTGACGTTGTTGCTAGTTCTGACGTTGTTGTTAGTTCTGATGTTGCTAGTTCTGACGTTGTTGTTAGATTTGACATTGCTATTAGTTCTGACGTTGTTAGTTCTGACGTTGTTGTTAGTTCTGACGTTGTTGTTAGTTCTGATGTTGCTGTTAGTTTTGATATTAATTTGATGTTGTTTGTTCTGATGTTGATGATAATTCTGCCGTATACACACAGGGTCGTCCAGCGACAAAGGAGGCGCCGCAACAACTACCTGACCATCCGAACTCGGCAGCCTCAGCGAACACAAAGGAAGCGTCGAGGGAAGATGTTGTCACTCCTCCAGCCGCTCCCTCTGTGGCTAGACCTCCGGGGACGGAGTGCTGGGTCCACGAAGCCTGTCTACTATGGGCCCCAGGGGTCCATATTAACAACAGCAAGCTGTGTGGCCTAGAAGAGTCAGTTATCCATGCTCAGGATAGTGTAAGTATTGCCTGGATAACTACCAGGATAGTGTAAGTACTGCCAGGATAATGTAAATACTGCCAGGATATTGTAAATACTGAAAGGATAGTATAAGTTCAGCCAGGATAGTGTAAATACTGCCAGGATAGTGTAAATACTCCCAGGATAGTGTAAATACTGCCAGGATAGTGTAAGTTCTACCAGGATAGTGTAAATACTGCCAGGATAGTGTAGGTCCTGCCAGGATAGTGTTAGTACTGCCAGGATAGTGTAAATACTGCCTGGATATTGTAAATACTGCCAGGATATTGTAAATGCTGCCAAGATAGTGGAAATACTGCCAGGATAGTGTAAGTACTGCCAGGATAGTGTAATTACTGCCAGGATAGTGTAAATACTGCCAAGATAGTATAAATGCTGCCAAGATAGTGTAAGTTCTGCCATGATAGTGTAAATACTGCCATGATAGTGTAAATACTGCCAGGATAGTGTAAGTACAGCTAGGATAGTGTAAATACTACCAGGTTAGTGTAAATACTGCCAGGTTAGTGTAAGTACTGCCAGGATGCTGTAAATGCTGCCAGGATACTGTAAGTACTGCCCGGATACTGTAAATACAATGGACCCTCGACTAATGCTATTAATCCGTTCCTGAGAGCTCATCGTTAGTCAAAATTATCGTTAGTCAAGTTAATTTTCCCCATAAGAAATAATGGAAATCAAATTAATCCGTGTAGGACACCCCAAAGTATGAAAAAAAAATTGTTTTTACCACATGAAATATTAATTTTAATACACACAAACTGAAGAAGACATGCACAGTTACATGACACTTACCTTTATTGAAGATCTGGTGATGATTGATGGGATGGGAGGAGGGGAGAGTGTGGATGGTCTTAGTGTTTAGAAGGGGAATCCCCTTCCATTAGGACTTGAGGTGGCAAGTCCTTTTCCGGGGTTACTTCCCTTCCCTTTAAATCTCTCAAACCAACCTTTGCTGGCCTTAAATTCACTCACATCACCACTAGTTGCAGGCATTTTTTTAATTAAATCGTCATGCAACTTCCTAGCCTTTTCACATATGATCGCTTGAGAGATGCTATCTCCTGCTATCTGTTTTTCGTTTATCCGCACCAATAACAGTCTCTCAACATCTTCGAGTACTTGCGATCTCAGTTTCGAAAACATAGTTGCACCTTTGGCAAGAACAGCTTCCTTGATTGCCGTTTTCTTGGCCACAATAGTAGCGATGGTTGATTAGGGTTTTGTGTACAACCTGGCCAGCTCGGAGACACGCACTCCACTTTCATACTTAGCAATGATCTCTTTCTTCATATCCATAGTAATGCTCACTCTTTTTGCTGTAGGGTTGGCACTAGAAGCTTTCTTGGGGCCCATGGTGACTTATTTTGCAGGTGCAATCACTAAAAACGCTGTGATAATATGAAATGTTCCGATTGTATGTTTGGATGCGACCGCGGTGGCTGGCTTGTAAACACTGGCCAGAAGTGGACGCGTCTCAGACGGAACGAATAGCGTTGGTCGAGTTTTTTAGCGTTAGTCGAGGCAAAATTTTTGCGTTAAAATGTATCGCTAGTCGGATTTATCGTTAATCGATGCCATCGTTGGTCGAGGGTCCACTGTACTGCCAGGATAGTGTAAATACTCCCAGGATAGTGTAAGTACTGCCAGGATAGTGTAAATACTGCCAGGATAGTGTAAATACTGCCAGGATAGTGTAAGTACTGCCAGGATAGTGTAAGTTCAAGCTTCAGGACCCCCATAACAGTTCAAGCTTCATGGCCACAAAAATGTAGGACCGTCACTGGTGGATAGGTCACTTACCTTTAAAACCCTACCTCCCCATCCACCCTCCCAAACCTTTCACACATTCCATCCTTACCCATCTTACTTCCTTCCCCATCTTAACAAAGCTCTGGTCAGAACCTCGCACTGGTTGTAACAACATTAGTACAGTCTCTCCTCACTTAACGACGAAGTTCCGTTCCTAAGACCTCGTCTGTGAACAAATTCGTTGGTAAGTGAGGAGCATACTATAATGGTAGTGGGTTTGTGTCAGCCATCTTTGATATTGCAACATTTGCAACATTTATAACATTTCTGGTATATTTTTTAAATGTTTATACAGTAGTGTACTGTACAGTGGTCCCTCAATTATCGTCCATAATCCGTTCCTGGAAGTGGGACTATTATCGAAATACAGGTCTCCCTCAACATTCACGTTTTCAACTTTCACGGGCTTCACACATTCGCGAATTCCCAACCGCCAAATTCCCAGCCACCAAATTCCCAGCCGCCAAATCATATTTAAGTTTCCCGCCACCTGCGAGTCCCTACTACCCTCCCTCCGACCCCCGCAACTGGCAGCCAGCCCTCCCACCACTCAGTGTGGTGAGTGTTTTGTTTGTTCATTATTTGCTATTAAACTACAGAATAAATAATGTAAACCCATTCATGACTGCATATTGGAATGGCTATTCGGACAGGTATTAGACGGTGACATCATGTGTTTACTCTTGAACACTGCAAAGAATTAAACATTTCTGCTACAGCTAATAACAATAGTAATAATAATAATAATAATAATAATAATAATAATAATAATAATAATAATAATAATAAATATGATATAATTGAAGAAGGAAATTGTACAAAAATACGAGGGAGTGGTTGACACATCGTCAGTGTGACTTTGTTTATGCTGGAGTGAACATTAGTCTCCCTGCTCTTCCAAACATTTCACAATAATTCATTGTGTTTGGTGCTTGTAGATTGAGTGCGACTGGAGTGGTAGAGGCAGTGATTGAGGCAATGGTATTTAATAACATACATGTTAATAATAATACATGTTATTAATAATATGTACTATTATTATTTATAACATATATGTTATTAAATACATACATGTTAATAATAATACATGTTATTAATAATAACATATACTATTATTATTTATAACATATATGTTATTAAATACCACTGCCTCAACCACTGAATTATTGTGAAATGTTTGGAAGAGCACGGAGACTAATGTTCACTCCATTATTATTATTATAATCAAGGGGGAAGCGCTAAACCCGGAGGATTATACACCGCCTGGGGGAGGGGGGGATGTGGAAGGCATTCAGGCTTAATTCGGGGAACTGGAGCACAGATCCAATTCCCTAAATCAAGAGCCCCTCACCAACATCAAAGAACCTTTCATGAGGGGAATGTTCACTCCAGCATAAACAAAGTCACACTGACGATGTGTCAACCACTCCCTCGTATTTTTGTACAATTTCCTTCTTCAGTTATATCGTATTTATTATTATTATTATTATTATTATTATTATTATTATTATTACTACTACTACTACTACTATTGTATTATTAGCAATAGCAGAAATGCTTGATTCTTTGCAGTGTTCAAGAGTAAACACATGATGTCACCGTCTAATACCTTTCCTAATAGCCATTCCAATATGCAGTCATGAATGGGTTTACATTATTTATACTGTAGTTTAATAGCAAATAATGAACAAACAAAACACTCACCACACTGAGTGGTGGGAGGGCTGGCTGCCAGTTGCGGGGGTCGAGGATAGGGATGGTAGTAGGAGTCTCGCAGTTGGTGGAGGCAGTGGTGGAGTCTGTGGTATTTAATAACATACATGTTATTAACATACATGTTATTAAATAACATACGTTATTAAAGCATAAAATGTATATATTTAGTACAATTTACGACGTTTTCGTGTATTTTATGATTATTCATGGTTCAACAAGTTAAGAAGCAGTATTGTAATATATTTCCCTACAATATATTGGGGCACCAAACATTCACGGTTTTTCAACATTCGCGAGGCTCTTGATCCCCTAACCCTCGCGAATGTTGAGGGAGACCTGTAGACGGTTTTCGAATCAATTTTCCCCATAAGAAATAATGTAAATACAATTAATCTGTTCCTGACACCCAGAAGTATTAAAACAAAAAAATTTTTTACATGAAATATACATGTAGTACATAAACAATACAAGTGGCACATGATGAATGAAACATTAACAGCATAACACTTACCTTTATTGGTGATTCTTCTTAGTGTATGGAAGACTGGAGGAGGAGACAGATTGAGTTACTGTTTGGAAGGGGACCAGCTTGAGAGTCACTGGAGTCCTGTCTCGCAAAAAAAACTGTCCAGAGAGCTCTGTTTCTGGCGTCTCTTTAAAACTTCCCTAAAATGGGTCAAGACTCTGTCACTGTACAAGTTGCCGATATGGCTTGCAATATCCTTCTCAGGGTGATGTTTCTCCATAAATCTTTCCATCTTACCCCACATTTCAAAAATCTCCTTAATTTCTGAAGAAGGCACCTTCTTCCATCTCTCTTCCTCCTCCTCTGCAGCAAGATTCTGAGCTGCGATCTGTTGCTCTTCCTGCTGAAACTCTTGCTCCTTTCATATTGTTCAATGATGTTTTTCTTAAATTCAGTCGTATTTCTCACCTTCTTTACCAAAGGTTTGGAGCCATAGTAGCTTATTTAGCACTTGCAAGCACTAAAATGAATGGAATATTATGAAATATTTCGTATGAATATGTGAGGGGACCATCGCTCACTGGTAAACAATGGCACACTGGCTGGGAACGGCTCAGAGCCGTGAGTATGCATCCAGGAGGAAGACGATTAGCGAGTTAACGGACCATTTGGGAGCCAATGTTTAGACGAAATAACGGGACTATTTCTGAAATGGATGACTTTCAGGCAGGATGATTATTGAGGGACCACTGTATATTGAAATAAGCAGAATAGAGGAAATCAGCTCTAACATACATTATTTAGGTATGCATACTGGTCAAAGAGCCCGTTGTAAGTCCGAGTCATCAGTAAACGAGTATGTCACAAAGTGAGGAGAGGCTGTATATAAGGTTTGTCAGGAAACAGGCCAAGTGTTTCCTGATGTGAGTTTTAGTTATGACCCAGAGCTGGAGCTTTTGGTCATCTGACCGAGGCCTTCCACTGGCTTACCCCTCCACCTCTTTAAAATTCATGGTCTAACATTAGTAAACGACTGCTAGAGCTTAACCCTAGTCCTACCCTTGACCCAGACCGTGAGCATGTAAGATACACCATGATTTTTTAAGATTTTTGTGGGGAAAAAGCGTATTATATGCCGGAAAATACTGTAACTCAACAAATACATAGAGTGAAAAAAAAAAATCCATGGAACAAATGGGGGTTTTGAACCCCTATCCATTCCATGGCTTGTTTACAATCATGTTATAATCGTGCAACTTACATATCATTACAGTAGGGCCCCACTTACATGGCAGGTTAGGGTCCAGGCTGTTGCTGGAAAGTAGACATCGCCGGAAGGCAGAACGCCATTTTTTCCATTTATAAATGCATATAAATGCCAGACAACAAGTTTACACTAAATTATATTAAGTTAGTAATAGAACTAGGCATTAAAAACACACAAAGTAAAATACATTCACAGTACATTCATTACTTATCTTAAAGTATTTGTAATCTTAATGTAGGGAGAGAGGTGAGTAGTACTTATTTGTAGGAAGTCAGGTGCAGGTAGTCCAGGTGTAGGTAGTCCAGGTGTAGGTAGCCCTGGCTCCCCGTCTCATATTTAATATACGATATTTAAAACATCCCAGAGAGGTAAAATACACATACAGTACACTCATTATTTACCTTAAAATATGTGTAGTCTTAATATAGGAAGAGAGGTGAGTAGTATTTATTTGTAGAGTCAGTGTAGGTAGCCGGTAGGTGTAGCCCACCTGGGCTACACCTACTTGCTACCTACACTGTGGCCCAGAGCCATACTATTATTAACATCGACATACCTTGTTCACTGAATTTAATCATTTCTAACAACTACCTTTAGATGCCATCATAAACGAAGGGAGAAGTAATGAATAATACATGCCGAAAATTGTAAACAAAAGCGGAGTGGGGAAGTGGCTGGGCCAAAGGCAGATTCATACACGTTTTCTCTGATGGCTGAGCAGAGAAAACGTAATGTTGTCTCTCCACCTGGCTCCACACAGCTCCACAAGTATTATTATCAGAGCACATAAAATATGCAATAAATGCCAGACAACAAGTTTACACTAACTTATATTAAGTTAGCAATAGAAATAGGCATTAAAATCACAATAAAAGGTAAGATACACACAGAGTACACTTATTACTTACCTTAAAATATTAATATTAATGTGTGAGAGGTGAGTTGCAGGGTGCTTATTGAATAAAATATTAATATTAATGTGTGAGAGGTGAGTGGCAGGATGTTTATTGAATAAAATCAGAATGGCACACCATCATCCTCTAACTTGGCACTTAAAGCAAGAGGCTTACGACTTCTCTTTTTATCACAGCTAACCTTAGACGCCATCGTCAATGAGAGCCAACTAGTTAATGAAAGAGTAAACGAGAGAGAGAACGAGATACAGAGTTGAGACAACGTAAGAACACAAACTGAACAGGTAGTGGACGATCACTTGGTCAGGCGTAATAAATGCGTATTAATATGTGTCTACTTTTAGTTCATTCACGTCCATTTGTAAGAGTTTGTAAAACATTTACCTCAATATTTTTTTATTTTAATAATAATTACCTCACAATACAAATACTCTTACATTGTATACAAGTTGTACAAGTTAGTTCAGAATAAACAAACAGCAACACACCATTTTTAGAGTGAATGAAGATATTATTATTATTATTATTATTATTATTATTATTATTATTATTATTATTATTTTTATCACACTGGCCGATTCCCACCAAGGCAGGGTGGCCCGAAAAAGAAGAACTTTCACCATCATTCACTCCATCAGTAGTAGGTAGTAGGTTGGTAGACAGCAACCACCCAGGGAAGTACTACCGTCCTGCCAGATGACTGTGAAACAGAAACCTGTAACTGTTTTGCATGATGGTAGGATTGCTGGTTTCTTTTTCTGTCTCATAAACATGCTAGATAACAGGGATATCTTGCTACTCCTACTTACACTTTGGTCACACTTCACAGACATGCACATGCATATATATATACATACATCTAGGTTTTTCTCCTTTTTCTAAATAGCTCTTGTTCCTCTTTATTTCTTCTATTGTCCATGGGGAAGTGGAAAAGAATCTTTCCTCCGTAAGCCATGCGTGTCGTATGAGGCAACTAAAATGCCGGGAGCAATGGGCTAGTAACCCCTTCTCCTGTAGACATTTACTAAAAAAGAGAAGAAAAACTTTATTATTATAAAAAGCACTAAACCCACAAGGGTCGTGAATTGCTATATATAGAGTGAAGGCATACAAAAAGAACATTTTTCTACAGTTATCCCCCAGTGTTTGACTAGAGAAAACGTAATTCTTCCGACACTACCTACACAGCCGCTTTGTAAACAAATCTCATATTTACATCAATTTCTATTCTGTGAGTGTATGTATCATGTTTATATGCTATGTAACAGGTTTCATATATAATTTTGAGGAAAATATCATAGATGGATTAATGAAAATGCCTATATTGATGTAAAATAAGACATTTAGTGTGCCCAAGAGTGATTATTATTAAGTAGTATTGGCGTCATGAATAGAAAGAGACTTAGCGATTTTAATGTGCACCTGCACACCAGCACAGTGTGTAAGTATATTTAGATACAGGTACACTTAAGTATAATTATCAGAGTACATATAAAATATGCAGTAACTTTAAAACACTTGAAATTTTGGAAAGTTTCCTGACAATAATAGATGTGGTCACGGAGAATGTAAACAAACCGGGTGGGGTGTGCCGTATTTGAAAGACCACTTGCCATATAGCAAATTTTGGTCATAATTTGACATCGCCGTATTAGCAGAACGCTGTAAGGTGAAACGCCGTAAAGTGGGGCCCTACTATATATGCCGTGTATGTCATTATAAAGTGCATGCAAACAGTGCTAATTCGTACTTTGCATTGGCAGATATGTAGCAACTGCAGCGAGGCTGGAGCGACAGTGGCATGCCTAGGGAAAGGTTGCTCGCTCATGGTGCATGTTCCCTGTGCAACGCAGCTGCAGTGGACCTTAGACCACCACTCCTTCAAGTCACTCTGCCCAAAACATACTGTGAGTAACTAGGAGACTGAAGAGTAGGTGTGGTATCTTGCTGTGGCTAGTGCTTACTAGCAAGTCTTCCTAGTGCAGTACACCTAGTGCTTGCTAGCAAGTCTTCCTAGTGTAGTACACCTAGTGCTTGCTAGCAAGTTTTCCTTGTGCAGTACACCTAGTGCTTGCTAGCAGGTCTTCCTTGTGCAGTACACCTAGTGCTTGCTAGCAAGTCTTCCTTGTGCAGTACACCTAGTGCTTGCTAGCAAGTCTTCCTTGTGTAGTACACCTAGTGCTTGCTAGCAAGTCTTCTTTGTGCAGTACACCTAGTGCTTGCTAGCAAGTCTTCTTTGTGCAGTACACCTAGTGCTTGCTAGCAAGTCTTCTTTGTGCAGTGCACCTAATGCTTGCTAGCAAGTCTCCCTTGTGTAAATACACCTATGTGCTTGCTAGCAAGTCTTCTTTGTGCAGTACACCTAGTGCTTGCTAGCAAGTCCCCCTTGTGTAGTACACCTAGTGCTTGCTAGCAAGTCTTTGTGCAGTACAGCTAGTGCTTGCTAGCAAGTCTTCCTTGTGCAGTACACCTTGTGCTTGCTAGCAAGTCTTCCTTGTGTAGTACACCTAGTGCTTGCTAGCAAGTCTTCTTTGTGCAGTACACCTAGTGCTTGCTAGCAAGTCTTCCTTGTGCAGTACTCCTAGTGCTTGCTAGCAAGTCTTCCTTGTGCAGTACACCTAGTGCTTGCTACCAAGTCTTCCTTGTGCAGTACACCTAGTGCTTGCTAGCAAGTCTTCTTTGTGCAGTACACCTAGTGCTTGCTAGCAAGTCTTCTTTGTGCAGTGCACCTAGTGCTTGCTAGCAAGTCTTCCTTGTGTAGTACACCTAGTGCTTGCTAGCAAGTCTTCCTTGTGCAGTACATCTAGTGCTTGCTAGCAAGTCTTTGTGCAGTACACCTAGTGCTTGCTAGCAAGTCTTCCTTGTGCAGTACACCTAGTGCTTGCTAGCAAGTCTTCCTTGTGCAGTACACCTAGTGCTTGCTAGCAAGTCTTCCTTGTGCAGTACACCTAGTGCTTGCTAGCAAGTCTTGTGCAGTACACCTAGTGCTTGCTAGCAAGTCTTCTTTGTGCAGTACACCTAGTGCTTGCTAGCAAGTCTTCCTTGTGCAGTACACCTAGTGCTTGCTAGCAAGTCTTCCTTGTGCAGTACACCTAGTGCTTGCTAGCAAGTCTTCCTTGTGTAGTACACCTAGTGCTTGCTAGCAAGTCTTCCTTGTGTAGTACACCTAGTGCTTGCTAGCAAGTCTTCCTTGTGCAGTACACCTAGTGCTTGCTAGCAAGTCTTCCTTGTGCAGTACACCTAGTGCTTGCTAGCAAGTCTTCCTTGTGCAGTACACCTAGTGCTTGCTAGCAAGTCTTCCTTGTGCAGTACACCTAGTGCTTGCTAGCAAGTCTTCCTTGTGCAGTACACCTAGTGCTTGCTAGCAAGTCTTCCTTGTGCAGTACACCAGTGCTTGCTAGCAAGTCTTTCCTTGTGCAGTACACCTAGTGCTTGCTAGCAAGTCTTGTGCAGTACACCTAGTGCTTGCTAGCAAGTCTTCTTTGTGCAGTACACCTAGTGCTTGCTAGCAAGTCTTCCTTGTGCAGTACACCTAGTGCTTGCTAGCAAGTCTTCCTTGTGCAGTACACCTAGTGCTTGCTAGCAAGTCTTCCTTGGGAGTACACCTAGTGCTTGCTAGCAAGTCTTCCTTGTGTAGTACACCTAGTGCTTGCTAGCAAGTCTTCCTTGTGCAGTACACCTAGTGCTTGCTAGCAAGTCTTCCTTGTGCAGTACACCTAGTGCTTGCTAGCAAGTCTTCCTTGTGCAGTACACCTAGTGCTTGCTAGCAAGTCTTTCCTTGTGCAGTACACCTAGTGCTTGCTAGCAAGTCTTCCTTGTGCAGTACACCTAGTGCTTGCTAGCAAGTCTTCCTTGTGCAGTACACCTAGTGCTTGCTAGCAAGTCTTCCTTGTGCAGTACACCTAGTGCTTGCTAGCAAGTCTTCCTTGTGCAGTACACCTAGTGCTTGCTAGCAAGTCTTCCTTGTGCAGTACACCTAGTGCTTGCTAGCAAGTCTTCCTTGTGCAGTACACCTAGTGCTTGCTAGCAAGTCTTCCTTGTGTAGTACACCTAGTGCTTGCTAGCAAGTCTTCCTTGTGCAGTACACCTAGTGCTTGCTAGCAAGTCTTCCTTGTGCAGTACACCTAGTGCTTGTTAGCAAGTCTTCCTTTTGCAGTACACCTAGTGCTTGCTAGCAAGTCTTCCTTGTGCAGTACACCTAGTGCTTGCTAGCAAGTCTTCCTTGTGCAGTACACCTAGTGCTTGTTAGCAAGTCTTCCTTGTGCAGTACACCTAGTGCTTGCTAGCAAGTCCTTCCTTGTGCAGTACAACCTAGTGCTTGCTAGCAAATCTTCCTTGTGCAGTATACCTAGTGCTTGCTAGCAAGTCTTCCTTGTGCAGTACACCTAGGCTTGCTAGCAAGTCTTCCTTGTGCAGTACACCTAGTGCTTGCTAGCAAGTCTTCCTTGTGCAGTACACCTAGTGCTTGCTAGCAAGTCTTCCTTGTGCAGTACACCTAGTGCTTGCTAGCAAGTCTTCCTTGTGCAGTACACCTAGTGCTTGCTAGCAAGTCTCCTTGTGCAGTACACCTAGTGCTTGCTAGCAAGTCTTCCTTGTGCAGTACACCTAGTGCTTGCTAGCAAGTCTTCCTTGTGCAGTACACCTAGTGCTTGCTAGCAAGTCTTCCTTGTGCAGTACACCTAGTGCTTGCTAGCAAGTCTTCCTTGTGCAGTACACCTAGTGCTTGCTAGCAAGTCTTCCTTGTGCAGTACACCTAGTGCTTGCTAGCAAGTCTTCCTTGTGTAGTACACCTAGTGCTTGCTAGCAAGTCTTCCTTGTGTAGTACACCTAGTGCTTGCTAGCAAGTCTTCCTTGTGCATACACCTAGTGCTTGCTAGCAAGTCTTCCTTGTGCAGTACACCTAGTGCTTGCTAGCAAGTCTTCCTTGTGCAGTACACCTAGTGCTTGCTAGCAAGTCTTCCTTGTGCAGTACACCTAGTGCTTGCTAGCAAGTCTTCCTTGTGCAGTACAACCTAGTGCTTGCTAGCAAGTCTTCCTTGTGCAGTACACCTAGTGCTTGCTAGCAAGTCTTCCTTGTGCAGTACACCTAGTGCTTGCTAGCAAGTCTTGTGCAGTACACCTAGTGCTTGCTAGCAAGTCTTCTTTGTGCAGTACACCTAGTGCTTGCTAGCAAGTCTTCCTTGTGCAGTACACCTAGTGCTTGCTAGCAAGTCTTCCTTGTGCAGTACACCTAGTGCTTGCTAGCAAGTCTTCCTTGTGTAGTACACCTAGTGCTTGCTAGCAAGTCTTCCTTGTGTAGTACACCTAGTGCTTGCTAGCAAGTCTTCCTTGTTCAGTACACCTAGTGCTTGCTAGCAAGTCTTCCTTGTGCAGTACACCTAGTGCTTGCTAGCAAGTCTTCCTTGTGCAGTACACCTAGTGCTTGCTAGCAAGTCTTCCTTGTGCAGTACACCTAGTGCTTGCTAGCAAGTCTTCCTTGTGCAGTACACCTAGTGCTTGCTAGCAAGTCTTCCTTGTGCAGTACACCTATGCTTGCTAGCAAGTCTTCCTTGTGCAGTACACCTAGTGCTTGTTTTGCAAGTCTTCCTTGTGCAGTACACCTAGTGCTTGCTAGCAAGTCTTCCTTGTGCAGTACACCTAGTGCTTGCTAGCAAGTCTTCCTTGTGCAGTACACCTAGTGCTTGTTAGCAAGTCTTTTCCCTTGTGCATACACCTAGTGCTTGCTAGCAAGTCTTCCTTGTGCAGTACACCTAGTGCTTGCTAGCAAGTCTTCCTTGTGCAGTATACCTAGTGCTTGCTAGCAAGTCTTCCTTGTGCAGTACACCTAGGGCTTGCTAGCAAGTCTTCCTTGTGCAGTACACCTAGTGCTTGCTAGCAAGTCTTCCTTGTGCAGTACACCTAGTGCTTGCTAGCAAGTCTTCCTTGTGCAGTACACCTAGTGCTTGCTAGCAAGTCTTCCTTGTGCAGTACACCTAGTGCTTGCTAGCAAGTCTTCCTTGTGCAGTACACCTAGTGCTTGCTAGCAAGTCTTCCTTGTGCAGTACACCTCCTCCATTTACGATGGTTCAACTTATAATATATTGAATTGATGATGGTTCAACTTACAATATTTCAATTTTACAATGGTGTGGCAACAATTGCTTTGGAGATGAAACTTAAGATAATTACCCAACATGAAGGCAGCAAGTCCCTAACTTGTATTCATTTATTGACTTTTCAGTACTGGTACTACCGTCCTGCCAAGTGAGTGTAAAACGAAAGCCTGTAATTGTTTTACATGATGGTAGGATTGCTGGTGTCTTTTGTCTGTCTCATAAATATGCAAGATTACAGGCATGTCTTGCTACTTCTACTTACACTTAAGTCACACTACACATACATGTACACGTTATTTATACACACTCATCTGAGTTTTCTTTGATTTTCTCTTAATAGTTCTTGGTCTTATTACTTTTCCTTTTATATCCATGGGGAAGTGGAATAAGAATCTTTCCTCTGTAAGCCATGCGTGTTGTAAAAGTCAACTGTGATGAATGGTTTGAAAAACCGACAAGTTGAAGATTGAGACACTTATGCAGCATATGGGAATCTTTATTCAGGAAACGTTTCGCCACACAGTGGCTTCATCAGTCCAATACAACGAGGAAGGCGTAAGGAGAGGAGGAGTATGAGGTAATCAGTCCCTCAGCCTGGAGTCGATGTGTTCAGTCCATCAATCTTGTAGAATGTACAAGATTGATGGACTGAACACATCGACTCCAGGCTGAGGGACTGATTACCTCATACTCCTCCTCTCCTTATGCCTTCCTCTTTGTATTGGACTGATGAAGCCACTGTGTGGCGAAACGTTTCCTGAATAAAGATTCCCATATGCTGCATAAGTGTCTCAATCTTCAAAAGTCAACTA